TGGGTTTAATTTGTTTTGTGACCAAGCTCTGGAAGAGCATAATAGATTAATGGGGAAATTTGCTTTGACATATGAGCAAATTGAGTTACAAGCTTGGTCACAGAACAAATGAAACTCGTATGTCAAGATATCACTGCATATTTTAAGCAAAAATCAGTAAGTAGCAATGTGATTCTCTTGTGTTCAAGCTGTAAAGGTGCTTGCTCATGCAATGATTTCCCATTAATACAGCCAATATAAGATGTGAAAATGCCCTCCAACAAGAATGGAAGAAGGAGACTATAACTAGACATTCTATATTATTCAGGTTATATTTATCTGAGTAGGAATAATTTTGTTTAATAAACCAGACATATTTGAATGTTATGGCAAGATGTTTCCGTTTCTGTTTCCCCCACCCCTAATTCCACAGAATAAATGACCAGAACCTTGTCGGTATACTACGGTATACTAGTGGCTGCATTTTAAGCTTTGCACCTGTAGTTGTAGAAGGCAGACAAAATCTGCTGGCTACAAACGATCTTGTGTGCCCGACTTCCTTGATGGTTGAAGCACTCGTGGCCTTTTAATCCCTGCTGCCTTTTCCTATGCTGACTTACTGACTTCAGCAGGATTCTGGCCACGGTCTTATTCAAAGCAGCTGAATATAGTGGAAGCTGAAACATCAGGAGGGTAGATTTTGATTGAACCTTAGAAGGAACTTGTTAATAGTAAAAGAGGTGGTGAGTTCTCTTTCTCTGGACAGCTACTTGTTCTGATACTTCAGCTGGATTTTCTGCACTTGATGGTCTTGTAGAATCCCTTCTAATTCTATAATTCTACACTTCTGTCTAAACACAATGTTCAAATATTTCTTTTTTGGAGGCAGTGGTAGTGATTAGTCATCATTCTAATAAATATTTATCTTTTATGCGAGTATCTGCATCCGTTTGAGATTCAGGTCTGATGAAAACTGCATGTATGTTTATATTTGTATGTATGCATATTTAAATGCATACACACTAGACATGTAATGCTTGAAATTGCACATATCACTGAACACAGAAGGGATGGGACCTGCATGTAACCCATGTACTCAACCACTGGGCCATAGTTCTTCTCTGACCTAAGACAATATATATCTGCCCTCTTTTTAAAGCCAACAGGGAAGGTGAAGCTTGACATGTGGGCAATGCCATTTCCTAGAGCACTGCTTCTTCAATTATGGGTCCTGACTTCAATCAATCAGTCAATCAATCAATGTTGGGGTCTCAAATATGGGCAGCAGTAAAGGGTTTCTGAAGCTCACCTAGTGGTTGTTGTAGACATCTATATGAATCTGTTGTACAGTGTTTACAGCAATGGTTCCCAACCTGTGGACCATGGCCCACTAGTAGGCCATGAGACCTAACATAAGGTCCGCAGCTGGGGGTGCATGCCGTTGTTGGAGGAGAGCGAAAGAGAGAAAGAAAGGGAGAGAAGGAAGGAAGGAGGCCAGCACCGTTGCCCAACCAATTTTTTTCTTGGTGTCTTTGTTTTTAGGTCTGTTCCTGGGTTATTTGGGGTGCTGATTCAGAAAATTGCATCTGCAAGCAGGTGGTGACTACTGGGTGGCATATGTTCTGTATCGGAAACTAGAGCTCATGTGGTCTATCCAATAGAATTTTCTGAATCAGCACCCCAAATAACCAAACTGAAGTTGATCAAAAACTGATCCATAACCCTTTTGGTACTAATGTTGGAAAGTGGGCCCTGGTCAGAGTGGTCCCTGGTCAAAAAAATTTGGGAACCACTGGTTTACAATGTATTCAGCAGAAGATGCTTCAGCTGTACTTCATCAAAAGGAAAGTCAGCCTGTTTAGACAGTAAAAATGTATTGGGCAGAAGGTTTGAATGGAAAAAGTTTTTAAAAATCTGACCTAGTGCTCATCTACTTTTAAAAAAGCCACCCCTCCCAAGCAAAACAATACAGGGACAATGATTTAACAGGGAGAGAGGGAAACCCAAGAAACAGGAGCAATTTGTAGGAAATTATGGTAGATGGACCATGCTGTACGTAAGTGGGTAATGTTTTGGAACTTGACTGGAAATGGAAAATAAAAAGGGGTAGATTCAACTTAGAAATGGCCAACAGTAAAGACCTGTAAGGACATAAATAGACTGACTTGTAAAACATCTAAAAGAAATATACTGGAAGTAAAACATCTAAAAGAAAGATAAAACTACTCTGCAGTGTGAATGCATCTTTTGCACGGAAAGAGATTTTACTGCAGTTTTGAGTGTCTACTACAAATGCATGGAAATATTTATCTTATTGGTGTGACATTGTTTTACATCCTTTTCCAAGCCTGACAAAGTAGTATTGATATAATTGCGTGCAGCTCATCCCTCTTGTCTATTTATATCCTGTAAGAACAACAGGCATCTTAATAATTCTTTTTGGAATATTGATGTTTTAGAAATGAAAACCCTGGTAGGAGAATTCCATTGGCAATGGAAATTCTTTGTGAAGGATAGTACTAACCATCACACAGGGAAGCCCATGTAAATGCTACTGGGGATCAAACACTGAAATGTATATGAATAATATATTAGTGGATATACAGAACATATAATTAAAATTAAAATAGGAGAGCATATTGATAAAATATTTAAGCAGAATGGTGGAGAACACAGCAGAGATTCACATATGTTGCTTGTTTCCTGGGCAGTCTTGATACACTGCCAGCTCATAATAGAGCTCCATTTTGGAGGAAGAAAGATATTCCAAAAGTAGGGGGAAAAACATTTTCTTCATCTGCTTGGCAGACCTCATAAGCACAAGAGGAACCTGGCACACAACAATTTAGAACACAATCAGAACCCGACCCATTTAGTGCTAAAAAAAACCCCTCATCATACGTTTCAACATTTCACAGATGAAATATGGTCAAGATGGCAAAGGTATGATCTAAATGGCAGAATTTATTAAAGAAGAAGAACATAGAAGCTAGGAAAGGCTGCAGCTGTTTTCTTTGCCTAAGTCTGCAGGGAAGGGCAAGATCCAGTGTTTTCTTTTTCTTTCTTCCATTGAGTTAACAGAGCACAAACCACTATTTTCACCTCACTTTGTATCACTTGAATAAACTAAGGACAAAGAAACGAAGTGGGATGAAGAGAGAGAAACCAGGGCATTTTAAGAGCAGTTGAAAAAATAGGGTGGCAGATCATTAATTGAGACGGTTGCTCCCAAATTGAGACAGATGGAGGAGATGGAGGGCTAGGCTTTAGCACAGCTGGTTAATCACCAGGAGGAATTGTTGTTGTTCATTCGTTCAGTCGTTTCTGACTCTTTGTGACCTCATGGACCAGCCCACGCCAGAGCTCCCTGTCAGCCGTCACCTCCCCCAGCTCCTTTAGAGTCAAGCCAGTCACTTCAAGGATGCCATATATCCATCTTGCCCTTGGTTGGCCCCTCTTCCTTTTTCCTTCCATTTCCCCCAGCATCATTGTCTTCTGTAAGCTTTCCTGTCTCCTCATGATGTGGCCAAACTACTTCAACTTTGTCTCTAATATTCTTCCCTCCAATGAGCAGACGATCAGGAGGAATACATCTTACCAATCGGAAGTTTGGCAGTTTGAAGGCCAGGTCAGGGTTAGAACCCGACCTTCAGCCCAGCTTACTGCCTACCTTAGCAGTTCGAAAACAGCTGTGTGCTGTGAGTAGAGAAATTAGGCACAGCTTAAGCAGGGAGGTATTTTACGGCACCATAAAGAAATACCAGAATATTGCTGGCTATCAAAGGAAGGAGGAAATCTGTGATTAAGGCTCTTTGTCATAGAGGATGGCGCGACAGCACCCTCCTGTGGCCAGAATCGAGCAGAACCTTGAGGACGTCGAAGCCAACACAATACCTCTATCTATTGTCTGCCCTGTCTGTATAATGGCATTGAATGTTTGTCATGTATGTGTTCTGTGATCCGCCCTGAGTCTTCTTTGGGGGAGAAGGGCAGAATATAAATACTGTAAATAAATAAATAAGCAATGGGAGGTCCAGGGGTTCCCTTCCCCACTTCTTTATTCTTTTTCTACATTGCAGTTTGCGTAGGGTGGTAAAAGATTAGTCTACGGATCTGGGATTCTGAGTTTAACAAGCTGCATGTCTTGAAGCTGCTCTAAGTTGGTACTGAATTAGGCATAAGTACTGGAAGAGCTTCCATTCAAACTGGAGCAGCTGTTGGACATTTGAATCCAAAGTGAATTTATCAGATGGTTTGAGATATTTGTGTAAATTTAATTTGGCTTCTCTCTGTATGTTGTCGTGACAGTGGCAAGGGATTGGGAACATGTGTGCATTTGCTTTACTTTGCTTTTCTCTGAGGCTGAGAGATTGTAATTTGGTTACTAAGGGGATTTCTGTGGCTGAGCAGAGATTTGAATCCTGTTCAGTGGGATCTTATTCCAGTGCTCTAATCATTATACCACTGTGTCCTCCCTTTTTCCGACTGCACCTCAATTCAAATGGCTTTTGCCCTTGACAGTGCATTAGACAAGAAAGAAAGTGCAACTCAAGAGCACTAACCTTGGTAAAAGCAATTTGATATGTAAGACTAAGGAGAACCGTTTTTCCAATATGCTTTGAGTGTTGCAAAGAAATCCTTCAAGAATGAGCTTTATGGGAGAGAAACCTTTCTCTTACAAGTGGTTTCCACATAAGACGTATAGCTTGTTTATAAATGGGTTATTTGGGCACTACTTCCTTTTGTGTGTGAGTGTGTGGGAGTTAACCCCAGTAACCTGAAACACACAACAGTGACATTTGGTTTATGGCCTGCTTCCTTTTCTTCTAGAAACCGCAGCAAATGTTCCAGGCAATCGAGCCAGTTTCGTTAGGGAGCTCCATTTCACTTTCTTGTGTCTGTTTTCTGTCTTTTGATTTTTATGCTGCTCAGTTGTTCTTTGATTGTGAGATGCCCTTCCTTTTTACTTAATGCCTTTAATGTCTGTATTTTTACCTTCTTCCCCACCCCTTCTTACAAAGGCCAAGAAACGCCAGGTCTTCCTAACAGAGACGTGTGAAAACAACATGAAAGAGCTGGAGTTAGTCTTGGACAGCTTTACTGTGTCAGGCCAGCGGACAGCAGGTTAGTTGAAGGTATGAAATGACAGATGCATCTGTCAATGTTCCAAAGTCACTCCATTGTGGGAATTCTGCAGATGCCTCTTGCATTCCCTCTTCTCAACATGCCTTGATTTGATGACATGATAAGAGCGGTTCTCACAGCAGTCGAGTGGCCTCGCTAGCTGAGACAGGGTGACCGGATGCGGACCTGCTGTTGTCAGCCCCAACTTTTGATTTACAAGTGTTGGGCTGTATGCGATCGGTCAAGAAAGGGCTCTCTGGCTGTGTTCTCAATCCAACTGAGAAAGAAGTCCTTACAGTATGCCTACAAGGGGAACAGATGTTTTGGACTGAAGTGAGCCAAATTCGGAGGCAACCTTCAGCTACGTAAAGGTCATCTATTCAACAAAGGTTATGTAGGACACCAAGTATAACACATCACTCTTTGCAGTGTTACTTTGAAGTCAGCCGAGGGGGTAATCATTACATCCATGGCAACATAAATTCCACCACAAGTGGTATGCAGAAGTGACCTCTCCCTCTTCGTTGTCTGTCATGTAGTGTACATAAGCCAATGTAAGGAAGTGCAGGAAGGGCAAAGTATCTAATCCTTCAAAACAAAACAAAACACTTTATATTTTGGGTGATCCCTTTCTTCTGAATTCTCTTGAGATTTGTTTTTGGGATCTTGTAATTAAATGATTTTGCACTGCACAGCACCCTCTCTTGTTGGTTTCTGCTGCATATAGAAAAAAGGGATTTCAAAAGAGAAAGCAATTGTCTGTTTTTCACAAAAGTAAAGAAGACAATGCACACTAGTTATTGTTGTATTAGAAAACTGTATCAAACTGCCCACCTCCTCAAATAGTAATAATATAGAAATGTCGATCCACCGTTCAGCAGTGGAGCTCTCTGCCCCGGACTGTGGTGGAGGCTCCTTCTTTGGAAGTTTTTAAACAGATGGATGGCCATCTGTCGGTGGTCCTTTGAATGCAATTTTCCTGCTTCTTGGCAGGGGGTTGGACTGGATGGCCCATGAGGTCTCTTCCAACTCTATGATTCTATGATTATGACTTTGGCCACATAATGAGAAGACAGGAAAGCKTGGAGAAGACAATGATGTTGGGGAAAATGGAAGAAAAAAGGAAGAGGGGCCGACCAAGGGCAAGATGGAWGGATGGTATCCTTGAAGTGACTGGCTTGGCCTTGAAGGAGCTGGGGRTGGTCACAGTGGACAGGGAGCTCTGGTGTGGGTTGGTGCATGAGGTCACAAAGAGTCGGAAGCGAGTGAAYGAATAAACAGCAACAAAGACATGTTTGTGACTCAGGTATTGCYTGTACTTTACAATTAAGTTCACAATGTATAGTAAAGCAGAGAATTTCTYGGTAAGGAAAACGCCAATACTGTTTTTACAAAGAGTTTGGAAGCGGGAGCTTCTCCACAAAAAAACTAGGGATTTGCTTACTGTTCCTTATGTAGTTCGGCTGTTGTTTGGCTTTCCAATCTAAATGAGTATCAGTGGAATTGCCATTAACAGTTTAGTGTTTATGAAACAATGGAATAGAGGATTAGAATTCAGCCTGCGTTGAGCAGTGAAAGGGAGGAGAATAAGGTGGAGACAGAAGGACAAAGTGTTTTGTGGCCTCAGGAACTTTATCTTTTGAAACTCCCCTCCTCTTTGGCATGAACATGGAGTAAAGGTTTTGAACTGAGCATTCTGAAACAACTTTGTTAGGAGAGAGGTTTTGGCAAGGAAAGCTGGCCGTCTGGAGAAGAGAACCAAAACAATACAAATAAAATCTGAGAATAATTATTGATAGGAAACGTTTTCCTTTTTTGTGGGCGTATCATTTTTTGTTTCAGAGTTGGAATTTGGTTGTCTGTTTGTGGCCATGGGGAAAGAGGTGATTTGTAAAAGATACCTTACTCTGAGATTAGTCTCTTGTTTCCTATCATCCTTCTCCCCCCTTCGTTCACTTGGAACCAACTTTTGTGTCAACAAGGAAGCAAATTTTAGGATGTCTTGAGGCGGAATGAAATTAGATTTTGTAGGTTAAATTGACATTCTGCTCTGGTGGCTTAGGTTCGTCATCCCAAAAGTGTGGTATGTTTTAATATGGAAAAGCAAAAAACGAAGATGTGGTTTGGCTACATATAATTAAAAGATGATAGCCAACTCTTTCTTGTGGGGGGAGGAAGCATGTTATTCTCAATTGGCAATCTCTATGGAAGTGATCCAGGAGTACAGGTCACTCACTCAGAGCTGGGGAACTTACTTTTCTGTACTACAACTTCCAGAGTACTACTGCCAACCTCACCATGGATATTCTGGCAGTTGTAGTGCAAAAAACACTTTAAAACAATACAACAATTAAAATGAAGAACAACTTTAACAAATATAAATGTATTAGTATTTCAGTGGGAAGTGTGGGCCTGCTTTTGGCTGGTGAGATAGGGTTGTTGTTGTTGTTGTTGTTGTTGTTGTTGTGTGCTTTCAAGTCGTTTCAGACTTAGGTTGACCCTGAGCGAGGGCCGGGTAAATGACCTTGGAGGGCCGTATCCTGCCCCCAGGCCATAGTTTGAGGACCCCTGAACTGGAACATTGTCATTTAGTTGAACTCTGTATTTCAATAGTGCTTGAGATTGTGCCTCAAACACACAGCCATGTGTGTTTGACCTTTGGAACCCACCTTAAAAGCCAGTCATCTGGAATGATAGAGGTCTGTTCTAGCGGATCATATGACCAGCCCCTTTCTTCCAAACCTTTCCCCAGCCCTGGTGCCAGTTTTGCAATGTTTAGCTTACTGGTAGAGGAGACTTCATCTCTAAATTGCCAATTATCTTTTAAATATGGGTTTCAGAGTCATTTTAGTTGTGGCAATAGTGTCATGATTGCAGAAGAGAATGCAAAGCAGTTACAATGTCCTATACCTAACTTACGACATCATAATTCACTAACAGTATGCTTTCATGTATTTCTTATACCTAATTTTGCTTTGAGCTGCCACTCCTAAAAATTTCCTCAAAGAGAAGCATCATACCCTAGATATTTTCCAGCTTTTTTTTAAAAAAAATCTATTTATTGCATTTATATCCTGCCTTTCCATCTGGAAGCTGAAACTACTTACAGGAAGCTCCCAGAAAGCCTCTTAACCCAGCTAAGGCCCAAGTACCTTCAAAAGTGTAATGGCATTAAATACCTTCAGTTAATCTTCTCCAGCCAGTTTTTATTCATTTCATCTCCATTGGTTGTTATGCTCATGGTCTTTGGTGACATTATTCGTTCCCCAGATAAATCTTTGTGCCAATAACTGGCTTCATTGGCTTGTTATTGTCCTGTTCACTGTATATATTCAAGATTTTCTCACATGTTTAAAGCATGCCCCACTTGTACTGTGCACATAGAAACACAAGAGGTTTCCTTATACAGAATCAGCTAACTAAGGGCCCTTCCACACAGCCATATAACCCACAATACTATGGCAGAAAATCCCACAATATCTGCTTTGAACTCCCGCTACGTGAGCTCCCGCTATATTAGCCCCAGCTTCTACCAACCTAGCAGTTCGAAAATGTGCAAATATGAGTAGATTAATAGGTACCACTCTGGCGGAAAGGTAACAGCACTCCATGCAGTCATGCCTGCCACATGACCTTTGAGGTGTCTTTGGACAACGGCGGCTCTTCGGCTTAGAAATGGAGATGAGCACCAACCTTAAGAGTCGGATACGACCGGACTTAATGTCAGGGGAAAACCGTTAGCTATCTGAGTCCACACTGCCATATTTTCCACTTCAAAGCAGATAATATGTGATTTTATTCAGCTGTGTGAAAAGGGACTTAGTATCATCTGAACAATTTGACACTGACTCTCCTGGGATTCTCAGATCTCTTTGGGATGCTTGTATTTGAGCAATGACTGCTCTTTTCCCGAGCTTCAGTCTTTCTCAAGAATTTGGGTACCCTTATTTGTTGGTTCTTACCTTTAAAATCGTTCGTGGTTTGGGTCCAGTTTACCTGCAAGATTGTCTTCTCCTATACAGCCCTGTCCCTTACACTCTAGGGGACGTTTACGTCAACCATCCAGGACTAGACTGGCAATTGTCTCCCAGGGGACGTATTTGTTGGCCACTGTGCGGCTGTGAAATGACCAGCTGGGAGAGATTTGACAGTTAAACATGCCATCTAAATTTTAAAAAGTGCTCTCTCTTTGAGCAGGTCTACTTGGTTTATTTTAAACTATGAATTTTAAATTGATATGTTATAGGTATGGATGATTTAAATTGTGTTTTAATCTTTTTTTTATTCTGTGTGTTTTAAATGGTTTCATTTTTAACAACCTATCTATTGTATTTTTACCTCTATGTTGTACTCTGCCTAGAGCTTTGGGGAGAGGTAGATGAGAAACAAATATATTATTATTATTAATATCATCATCATCATCATCACCATCATTATTATTAGTAGTAGTATCTGGAATACCCTATCTAATGGCTCTTCCATCACTGCTCTTATATTGCTTCTGTGTATTCATTGGTTGGGCTTCCTTGTATGTCTTCAGAAGAGGGGGAATGAATCTCAAATTATGAGTTTGGTGGAGGAAGGCACACCCTCTAAAGTCCCAGTTTAGCTTACAGTTGTTTGCATCTGACTCTTCTGCTTGTTAGCATATTGCAGAGGATGCTCTTCCCATATCGAACAGCAGAAGACATCCCTTTCAATGCAGACTGCCCAACAGCAAAAGCTTCTAGTTATGTCTCATCTGTCCCAGTCAGATTAGGCAATAGCCATGACTTTGGGTTCATACAATCATAATATTGGACTAGTAAAGATCAGCTTCTGATGAGGTCAAGCCAATTAAAGCAGAGGTCAAGCTCCAACAGGGTAGAGGCTAAGTAGAAAACACCCTGGGGAGCCATGTTAAAAACATATGAAAGTAACCAAATCAGAATGCATACAGAGGAGAAAAATTCAAATATTTGTCCAATACAAACCTGCACCGAATCTTAATTAGAGCTGCTACTTGGTCTTGGTTGTTAGTTGTAGAAAAGCCTCTTTATTTACAAGTGTCTAGCTTTTCTTCATTTAGCTGCCAAGGAGAGAGTGCTTCTCTGCTAGGACAACTGGGTTGAAATCCTGAAGGTTGGAACGGACCAGCATTATCTCTTGCAGGTGCAAGCCAAATAAGGTGGTCTTGGGCTGATGTTTTCAGAGTGGTGTGGATATCCAGGGGTATCTGAGAACCCCATTTGATGAGACGTCTGAATGCAAAGCGAAAAGGGACACATTCTGGAAAAGAGAGATCTTGGAATGACATAGATCCAATTTGTACTTTCTGAGTTCTGTAGCCCTGTCTCCAAAAGTGGGGTTGAATCCCCTCTTGGGGTTACAGGAGGAGATGGTAGTCTGTGAGTACTGTTCTGTTCTTCCCACAAATAGAGTTAGGAACTCAGATGTTAGGCAGATTTTTTTATCATGTCAGGACTGACTTCAGAAACTACAAGTCGCTTTTGGTGTGAGATAATTGGCCATCTGCAAGGATGTTGCCCAGGGGACGCCCTGATGTTTTGATGTTTTACCTCGCATGGAGAGCTGGAGCTGATAGAGGGAGCTCAGTCGCGCTCTTCCCGGATTCAAATCTCCGACCTATCGATCTTCAGTCCTGCCGGCACAAGGGTTTAACCCATTGCGCCACCGGGGGCTCCATTAGGCAGATAAAACCACTTTTTTTTTCTACAACAAAACAACAAAACTTCATTTATATACCGCTCTATCTCCCCGAGGGGACTCAGAGCAGTTTCCACATAACATCATCAATACATACAAAGTAAACAACATAAACATAAAATTAACAAGACTATATAAGCATTAAAAAATCACAATAGCACATATATATTTAAAATAATCCTGCCTGTTCAAGGCAATTTAAAAGGCAGATAGAACCACACGTTAAGCCATTTAATAGATACCTCACTCTCAGCCTTTATTTTTGAGTCTATTTTTAATGGCAAAAAAACTAGAAAAATATTTTAGGTCTCCAGGTATTCTTTGGTAAGAGGTCCTTCATTTCAGTAAGATTTGTTATAATCAATGGTTTCATATATTCACGTGATATAGGAGTTGCATATGGATGCAATATTTTGTGAGATATACAGCATCTTGCCTATTTCTTCCATTCAGACGTCCCACAGATGTCTGTGTGTATAGGAGCTAAGAGTGTTTCAAGTTTAGACCAGTGTGGGATTGGATTTTTAAAGATTTAACAATGTGAGCCTTTTTGGTGTAATGATATGACTCTGGAGATCAGGGTTCAAAACTTTGCTCAGCCATAAAACTCACTGAGTGACCCTAACCAAGTCACACATTCTCAGCCACAGAACACTCTGTGATAGGCTCATGTTAGGGTATCTAATATCATTTAAAGGCATACCGCAACAACAATGTTTTGAGTTTAAAACTTTTAGTGTGGGATTGGGTTTTTAGAAAACCAATGAGGCAATTTCTTCTCTAGTGGGAAAAGATGCCAACATTTGCAAGTGATATTTAATTGAGTTATCTTATGGATATTACAGCTTAACCATGTGGATGTGCTTTAAAATAGCCACAAGAATAATCAGCTACCACCATTACTACCAAACTATTCAGTATTTTGATCTCATTCTGAGCTGAGATTATTAGAATGGTAATTGCTATGGTAGTCTGATTTCCTCCTCTTCCTCAGTTGCCTCTCCTCTCAGGCAGACGTATTGCTTTTAATGAAGTGGCCATGGGTTTGAATTATACTGCGATGTACTGTCATAAGTCTTCAGAACGGGATTTGTTTAGTGGCCCGTCCAAACTAGGCCCATGGGACAAGACTTGTATACTCGCTATATTTATGAATAGTTGAGTTCCCGGTGGTGCAATGGGTTAAACCCTTGTGAAGACCAATAGGTTGCAAATTCGAATCCGGGGAGAGCACAGATGAGCTCCCTCTGTCAGCTCCAGCTCCCTATGTGGGGACATGAGAGAAGCCTCCCACAAGGATTGTAAAACATCAAAACATCTGGGTGACTCTGGGCAACGTCCTTGCAGACAGCCAATTCTCTCACACCAGAAGCGACTTGCAGTTTCTTAAGTCGCTCCTGACACGGAAATGAAATCACATTGCTGGAGCCCCCGGTGGCGCAATGGGTTAAATCCTTGTGCCGACAGGACTGAGGACCGACAGATCAGAGGTTCGAATCCGGGGGGAGCACAAATGAGCTCCCCATGTGGGGACATGAGAGAAGCTTCCCACAAGGATGGTAAAACATCTCCTGGGCAATGTCCTTGCAGATGGCCAACTCTTTCACACCAGAAATGACTTGCAGTTTCTCAAGACGCTCCTGACACACACAAAAAAGGGGGGAAAAGGGTGGGACAAGACGTGTATACTCACTATATTTATGAATAGTGGGGATCCTAGAATTATAGCTTGGAGGTCTAGGGAAGACAAGACCAGTATGATCAATGCTTCCAGGAGTTCAAATGGCTTGAATTATTCACTTGAGTTTTGTATCTCAGTTTTTGTGTATAGGGCAAGAAAAGAAATAACATTCAGGATTAGGTTTCAACTGCTTTATGTTGCACCCAGGCATAATAGGAAGTCCTGTATTCCTTGGCATAGCTGTGAGAAAGAAGATTTCTTTGCAAACTATATGACTGATCATGAAGCAACAAAAGTATGGATGTAGTACATTTTAAAAACACATGGTTGTTTTGTTTGGAGCATTTCTTTTTTCATTGAAGCATAGACTTCCAGTCATTAGATGCCTTTAAAATATGATTGGAGATGGGCCTCATAATGTGCAGGAAAACAAATCGGAGTTAATATTTTCATGCGGTGAGCTACAGCTAAAGAGAGAGAATTTTCTTCAGCTTCATTTGATATTAAAGAACCAATACACTCGTATGCCTTGGAGAAAACACAGTGGTTGTTCAACATTCTGTATTGTCACTGGAGCCCAACTAATTTAAATATCTCTGTTGCTCTTGGAGAAGTTTGCTGTCTGTGTTCAACTCGGAGGGCTTTGTTTTGATTCTGTATTTTTCTTCAGGCATTCGCAAGGACAAAGATAAACCTCCAAGCTTCACTCTTGTCCTTGAGACTTTGAGGCGTACCTTGACAGATTACCAGAACAAGCTGGAAGATGCATCTAATGAGGTAACACTTGCACTGTTTGGCTCCACACACATAGCCTTCGGCCCCCAATAGTCGAGATTCCTGGCTTGTTACAGAGGTCAGAACTCTGGGAATGTTGTGTTGACAGCTTCACACATAAGAAAAAGAAATAATCTTTTGTCACTGTTCTTCCTCTAAGCTTGCCCTATGGTCATGATTCACTTAAACTTAGGAAATTGTTTAGCCGTGTTCTTTTTTTTACAGTGTACTGTTTATACTGACCAATTATTTTTAGTACCTAACACGCATACCTGATGTTTTCCATCCATGATGTTTTAATGCTTTATCATAAATGTATAGTATAAAATCATGCTCAGGGCACCTAATATGTGTTTAAATCCAGTATAACTGATGAGTACTAATGCATGTTCAGAATGGGAAAAATATGCTAGCAGAAAAATATATATTCATTTTAGTTAGTTTTTTGTTTTCCTGCTTTATTAATATAATTAAAACAGAAATTAGAGTTTTAAATGTCTCACAGTGTTTAAAAATACCATTTTTGTTTAGTATTCATTGGATAGTTTACTGTGTACATAAACATATGTACCTGGATTGCTGCTCAATTTATTAGCAAGGGATTTACTTTTGAGTAGATACGTAGTTCTGTGATGAATTGGGATGTGAAGTACACTGGACATATTCTTCTAAGTTAATTGCTATCTAGTTTTACCAGATCTCTCGTCCTGAGGTTTAATACGTTTGCATTGAACATCTACCATATATACACTCATTTATATGTCAAACTCATATATAAGTCCAGGGCAGATTTTGGGACCAAAATGATGGATTTTGATATGACCTGTGGATAAGGTTGGATCATTCTGTGGTGAGGAGAAAGCACTAATGCCACCTTGGGGATAGCTGTCCTGGCAGCCACTATTTCCCCACTCAGGCATTCAAAATGGTGCCACGGTGGAGAGAATAGAAGAGTCAGTGCTTCCTTTAGGTTTTCTCAGGATGGATTAAGCTTTTTTCCTTTTACCACATTATACAGAGAAGGGGATGTTCTTTTTTTAAAGTACAGTACTTACCTTGATCTATGAATAAGTCAACCTAGGTGTTTGGTGTGATTTTTTGACCAATATTTCTAGACATATACATCAATATACAGTAGAACCTTGACTTAAAGAGCATCCAACCCAAGAGTGATTTGAGTTAAGAGCTGTTGCTTGACCTGGGTTTGCTTTGACATATGAGCAGGGTTTGAGTTAAGAGCTAACGCAAGAGGGAGCACTAGCACAAGAGTACAGGGCTTGATAAGAGCAGGAAATAGGAGCAGGAAATGGGATTCAAAGTGTGCTATAAGACAAAATATTAATAGACAAAGGGAGATAATTAAAAAAACAGGACGGTCCATTTGAAAAAGTGATAGGAAAATGTCTGAGAGATGAGAAAAAAGTGGCAGGAGACTTGTACGAACAGATTATAACACTAAAAGAAGAAATAATAGAGGAAATATTTCAAATGTGGAGAAGGGATATGGAAATTGAGAGAGAAGACATCCAAAGGGAAATAAATATAGCAAAAGAAAAACAATGTACTAACGGAAGTAAGAAGGAAAATGCTCCAAAATTGGTACAGGACTCCTGCACAACTTTCACTTTTTTTTTACCAGGGGTAAAAAATGTGGAAATAACAAATTGTAAATTGAACAATATAGATAAAATAGAGAATGTTATAATAATTAAGAGTATGTGGAATCCAGTTAGTAATTACTTAGGTAATTCCTGACTGGAGTGGAAAAATTGAGATTAAGACTGATATTGAGATTAAGACTGATATTACAAATGTAATTTCTGTAGTTTATAGTACAAAGAGTTTGACCAAGGGGAAAGGTGGAGGATGAGAAACAATAAAATAAATAAATAAATAAATAAATAAATATTTAAAAAAGAGAGTACAGAGTTTCAAGGGAGCAGCCTCTGTGCCTCATGCTCTTGTCCACTTTGGGAGTTTGCTGTCTGCTTTGCTTTTGTCCACTTTGAGGAATTTTGGGTTACAAGATTTTGTGTGGTTTTTATTCTTGGTATGTTTGGCCTCATGAAGAGAGAGGGGGAGAGAGAGCAAGAGAAGGAGGGAGGCTGAAATGAGTACAGCATGAAGACAATGTTGCTCTGGCTCTTCACTTTGTGCTTCCTTGCCACAACTTTGTGCTTCTACCATTGTGGTACAACTTTAAAGTTGATCTTTCTTTTTTATTGTTCAAAGTGAATATGCAGGGGGACTGGAACATATTAATAGCATTTCAATGGAAAAATTTGCTCTGAGATAAGAATGATTTGAGTTAAGAGCTCAGTCACCAAACAACTTAAACTCTTAACTCAAGGTATCACTGTATAGGATAGCTACTTGCAAGAATTCATGAGTTGCAATTATAATTGGATATAGCAAGGCAAAATCAAACTGGAATAATTTTAAAGAAATTATTTTTTTAGCCATAATTGAAACATTTGCTGGATCGTAATATTAAAAGTGCAGTTAATATTCGGAAGAGTAAACCTCAATTAAACCATTTTGTGCCATCTTTGCTTATTCTAGTGAAAGTATTATCATGCATATTTGTACATAGCCACCATTACAAGGTTTCTTCCATTGACAACCCACATGTTTAGCTGTCTTCTGAGGCCTAGAGGAGGCACACGATACTGACTGCAAATTGTTGTTTGAGAGGGTGAATGTCACCTGATCTTCAGCACAACGGAAAAGTCGACTCAGCAGGCTTTGGCTTAGGAACATGTTTTGTTGTGAAGCGATGCCAGAGACAGCAGTGGGGAGACCAAAGGGGTGGGTGTTAAGAAAGCAGAAAGAGTATTCTGTCAGCAAGAAGAATGAACTGTCAAGAAAAATAAATCGCAAGCAGTGCAGGTCCAGCTGATGACCTGCCACAAGACTTCCCAGTAGGGCTGCATGTGCCCGACCCTGAAGTTGTCATACAGAGCTTGAGACCACCGAGTGCCCTCCTGATATGCAGATGGGGCAGCTCCATGCCCTCCTTTGCATTTCCTTGTTGATCGCACTGCTGTCTCTTGGCTTTTCTTCCTCTCTCTTAGATGTAATTAACAATAAAACCTTCAGATACTTTTAAAAAAAAGACACACTCTAAGGCGCTTTCATTAAAAAATTAGTTTTTTTTATACACACTATAATTTCTTGAGCTTGTTAGTGTGTATTTATCTGCTAAAACTACACATAGGTCAAAGTTGCTCTTCCTATTAAGATAATTTGGATGTGTATATAAATGGCAATTTAGCTCATTTTATTCATAATAGAGTATCCTCAAGAACACTAAAGCTGCAGCTCTGTTCACATTTACTTATGAGCAAGCTTAATTGAGCTAAAGAGGTCTTTATTCTGAGTAAATAAGCATAAAACTTCAGCGTGCAGGCACTAATAAGTTTCTTAGAACTAGTCACCATTTATAGATAAAATACATTTAATCTAGTTGAAAACAATGTAGTCTAGAGGAGCACAGCAGAGAGTGTATGATGGTGGAATAAAATAATTAGTTTCCTATACTTGAAAAATGGCAAGTATCAAATGGAAATGGACTCTATGTCCAGTGTGCTATATTCCCAAGGAAGTCAGTATATACAGGATCGGCATAGTCTGTTACATCCTCGTCAGACATAGTGGCAAATCCAGTGGTGTCCCTCGGGGGGTGAGGGGAACTGTTGCTCTGCGCTCCACATTGCTCGACCCCCCCCCCCTTTGCCACATCTCATGGGGGGAAGCGTTGGCCACCCGGCTCCCCCCTGTTGATCTGTATAGTAACATGGGAAGCCTCCTGTGTTTCTGTGGTGGCGGCATATGCCAGTTGACCTTCCCTTTTGTGATGGAACCCCACCAGAAGTGGCTCTACGTTGTGGGATGGGAGCTAGTGGTCACAATTGCAAAAGGGAAAGTCAGCTGGCATATGCTGCCGAAAAGTATCTTCTTATGAGGTTGTTAGTAACTGTATTGTAAATCAGGTGATTATATTGTAATGGATTGTTTACCTTCTTTGTCTAGCTTAAAAAAATGGAAATTTTGTCTGAGAAGGTGGTTAAAGAGTATGATTCTTCTCAACAGCAACTGAGATCACAAGCTCAAGAACTTCAGGTAACTATATTTTAAGTCTCATCTTGATTGTGACTCTAATCCTGAGAATGCCTACTCAGGTGATTCATTTACTTTAAGAGATTTACTTGAGAATAAATGGTTTATCTTCCTTATGATAAGAACTGTTCCACAGTGGATTATGCTGCCTAGGAGAGTGGTAGAGTCTCCTTCTCTGGAGGTTTTTAAATAGAGGCTGGATGGCCATCTGTTGTGAGTACTTTGGTTGTGTGTTCCTATATGACCCAAAATTGGACTGGATGGCTTTTGCAGTTTCTTCCAAGTCAATAATCTGTGATCTCACAGCTGCATGAGAGTGAAGCTTTTTCTGGGCAGAATACTGTCTTTGTAAGGGACTCTTTTTACCTATTGAAAGGCCCAATATGTGCTATTCTCAGTTCTAGAGTTACCCTAATAAATGTGTTACACATCTATTCTGAGGTGTCTCTTGAGTATCTGTATATTTTGAACAATTTCCTTGAAGCCTGTTGGACTGGTTCCAAAGATGTCTTGTTCAAATAGAAAAATACTTCCTTCACCTGGTTATCCATTGATCCCTCTCCTACTGCAGTTCTGCTCACAATTACCTATGAGTAAGCTTGAGTAACTAAGCAGGATTTAATTCTGAATAGATATACATCACAGTACAATGTGCTTAAGACTGCCATATGGGGATACTTATAGTTTTCCATCACATACCCCATCATATGGTGTTCTCCTGGACTTTTGAACCTTTCAGAGTGGCTTGGAGGCCAGTCATCAGAGATGTAATGAAGAAGACAGGGTAGAGAAACCCAGAGCTCTGGACAGGCTAATTTTTAGACTATACCTTCCAGAATCCCATTAAGTACATGCTGTCTAGTTGATTCTACAAGATATAGACTCAGAGGGCAGCTTTTCTATTTTCTAAAGGAAATAAAATGTTATGGGGCGTTGTCACATATTTTTAACTTATGGCAATCCTATCATGGAATTTCCTTGGCAAAATTTGTTCAGAGGAGATTTGCCATTGCCTTTCTCTGAGAGAGTGGAAGTCACCTATAGTTTTCCATGACTGATTTGATCTCTGACCTCCTAGAGTCCTAATTCAACACTCAAACCACTACACCATAATGATTCATAAACATTACATGAGTTGCAAGTCCTTCTCTGGATCTATTCTAACCTAAACCCTAGTTTGTGGGGCTTATTTTTCTAACCTTGTTTCCTATTCCCAAACAAAGATTATCACTATTATTGTAAGAGTTTAGGGGGAAAAAAGATTTCTAAATGGAATTGACAGTTGTATTTTCATTTATATAGCACATGAGGGAAATCACATTGCACTTCTCCTCTTGCTTGGTTTTATTTCCCCAAACTGCAGTTGTGATGGTGGTGTTAACAATGGCCACTTACTTATTTTTATTTATTTATTAACGATATTTATACCCAACCCTTCTCACCCTGAAGGGGACTTAGTGTGGCTTACCAGTGGCAAAAATTTATGCTGCATAAATATACAAATAAAATAAACAATGCATTAAACACCATAGAGTTTAAAACATCTTAACATTAAAACCAATTATACAAATCACACAATCCAAATCCTAGTCCAGGAGCATTCCCAGTCATAAATGCACTTGTTCTGTTTCATTTATTGCACTGAGTTTATTGTCCAAAGGCTTGGTCTCACAGCCAAGTTTTTAACTTCTTCTTGAAGGTCAGGAGGGAGGGAGCTGATCTACTTTTGCTGGGGAGGGAGTTTCTTAGCTAAGGCACCACCATGGAGAAAGCCCCGTCTCTCATCCCCACCATTTGTGCCTGTGAAGGAATTGGGAATGAGAGCACGACCTCCCCCAAGGATCTTAACCTTCGAGATGGTTTACGGAGGGAGATACATTCGGGCACGTAAGCTGGGCCAGAACCATACTTTATCTTGGTGTGTTTGCTTTTAAAGATGATTTGTTGTCTAAGATCCCTGCCCTACATCAAAGTGGGATTGTTTAGGTGGAAGATTTTTCCCAGTTTTTCTTGAGCTTTTCTGTTTTTACAAAGAGGTGGAATCAGAAATCTTTTCTAAAAATGTTCATAGTATGAACATAGCTTTTGGTTTCTAAGCCCCCATCTATACTGACCATTTAATGCAGTTTCAAACCGGTATTGAAGAAAGTGTGCAGATAATTACATAGAAGAACCTGGTACCAGTTTGAGGCCTGGATGGTGATTACACAAACCACAGAGCACTGATACACATATTAAAGGCTTTAATTTGCTTTTCTGGGAGTTTGTTGTCTGACCACCACAGTCTGAACCTAGCTCTGAACTGCATGAAATGGTCAATGTCAATGGGGCCTAAGATGTTGGAGAAAAATAGTTACACAGGAATATTTCCATTACGCAGTGGTTCTCAACCTGTGGGTTGCCAGATGTTTTGGCCTTCAATTCCCAGAAATCCTAACAGCTGGTAAACTGGCTGGGATTTGTAGGCCGAAACACCTGGAATCCCACAGGTTGAGAACCACTGGTCTACAGTTACCTAATTTCTAGTGTTGACTCTGTATAATTTCTAGTAATAGTAATAATAGTTGCTAATTACTTGGATAAATGTTTTTGCTTTGAAGGACTTCTAGATGTGTTTATATTAATGCGGGCTAAGGAACAGACAAAAAGTTATGCTTTATTGGATGAAGCTATTTACTCCCCCCCACCCCTTTTGTCACTTCTAGGAAGCAAAGAACAACTTTTCGGAGATCAACAGAGAGTTAAATCATCTTCAAGCTAAGTGCGCAGATAGAGAATCTTTAATAGCTACCTTAAAAAAGGAACTACAGAATATACTGCACTGCTGGGAAAAAGAGAAGGTGCATTCTACAGAATTAGAAAATGAAATCCAGAAGCTCACGCGGGCTTATGAGAAGGATACGGAGGTATTACCAGAAACAAGATGACTGTCAAAAAGAATCTTTAATCTTAGCTTTTTTGCATTTACATACATGAGATGTTTAGTTTGTAGACTTCAATGTATGCCCCTTCAGTACAAATGTAAGAGGAGTGCTTTACAAAACCTATATGTAATTTTGCTTCTGGCACTGAGTATTTTTTTTATTTAATACTTTGCTATAACCTTTTTTTAAATCCATTCTGGCTGTTTACATTTTAAAAATACCAGGGTGCTTTTCAAAAGAGAGAAGGGACATGAGTATATTTAAAGAAACATGGCTAGGGATTTATTTAGCTGCTGTTTTGCTGAATGTAGATGCACACATTTGGAATATATCTGCATTTGCAATAGGATCCAATCCCTTGGCATTAATTCCCATTAACTGTTTCAAATGACAGCAAAAACTATAACGGACGTGTAGAACGCAGGTCATTTTACTTGCCCACCAACAAAGTATAATAAGTTTCCTGTTCATGGGGCAGCAGCTGATTATGGTATGTTGTGTACAGTAATTGTTTCATGAAGTGTTATTTTGAAACATGCTTTCCACCATGATGTTTATTCTATTTTTAAAATGCCTAACTTGCTTTCCCGTAGTTTTTAGGGTGTTTTTTTCATATGGAGTTTTTCTGCACTAGGTACAATATTCTTTATCTAAATTGTGCTGCATATTGAGCTCATTACTCTAACAAATATGAGCAGGAATGCCAAGTGAGTAAAAAGGAAACATTCTTTCCACCCTTCTTACAGTCTGGGTTTTAAATTGTGTCCATATGAATCAGTTGGAATTGTTCTGCTCATCAGATAGTGATTAAAGTAGAGGAAACTAGAAGCCTGACTATATTGTAAAGTCAGCATGTCTACAGTATTGTGGTTGGGTTCAACATGTGTGAATTGATTCTGGTTCCTTGGATTCCTTTTTTCAGGCCAAATGGATGATTACCATGCTTGGTTTATCACAGCCCAAGCAAAAAGGACACAATGGCGACAGATTAAATTAACGAGGAGAAGCAAAAGATAGGGTGGAAAGGCTTTTGTTAATACTTTACTGTGTGTTGGTGGTGGTTTCCCAGGAGAGATTTAAACACCAAAATCTTGTTGGAACAAAAACATCACAATAGCAATTCCATTCTTAATTCCTTTACAAAGTATGTTTGGAGACGTCTTGTGTTGGACTGCACCTAAAGCACGCTAAAAGAAGTGGAAAACTTTCCCTTGAACCTAGTGGGTTTTGGATCAAAACACTAGTTTAGGATTTATAGAAAATTTCTTAAGTCTTTTGCATCATTGAAACAATGCAAGATACCATTCTTCTGTCCTCTAAATTGATGAAAACCAGAAGATCGATTAAATAAATGTAAAGTCAACTCTGCAGCTAATTTTTATTTCAAGAAGGTACTTGTACTATATATTCTATGAGCAAAATAAGTAGATGGAGGGAGAGAAGATACATTAAGGCCATACTCTACATGTCATGTGTCAGCTAGAAAAGCCATTAGGATTTTGGCCTGCATAAATAGGAGTCTAGTGTCTAGATCCAGGAAAGTTATGCTACCCCTCTATTCTGCCTTGGTTAGACCACACCTGGAATACTGTGTCCAATTCTGGGCACCACAATTGAAGGGAGATGTTGACAAACTGGAATGTGTCCAGAGAAGGGCAACTAAAATGATCAAGGGTCTGGAGAACAAGCCCAATGAGGAGCAGCTTAAAGAGCTTGCAAAAGAGAAGGCTGAGAGGAGACATGATGAGGGCCATGTGAAGGGAAGTCATAGGGAGGAGGGAGCAAGCTTGTTTTCTGCTGCCCTGGAGACTAGGACGCAGGACAATGGCTTCAAACTACAAGAAAGGAGATTCCACCTGAACATGAGGAAGAACTTCCTAACTGTGAGAGCTGTTCAACAGTTGAACTCTTTGCCCCGGAGACTGGAGTGTGGTGGAGGCTCCTTCTTTGGAGGCTTTTCAACAGAGGCTGGATGGCCATCTGTTGGAGGTGCTCGCAATGTGATTTCCCTGCGGACTGGATGGCCCACAAGTTCTCTTCCAACTCTATTATTCTATGATACATTTCTAAATGTAATGATCCAAGACGTAAAGGATTTAACACAAGGTGGCCAGGAATTGCAATGAGCATTCACCAGCCATGAAAAATATCTTTATATTGAATCAACTTTGCCTCACATCATGATTGCAAAATGTTCCATGTGTCATTGGCCCTAACTCAGTGACACATGGAACATTTTGCAATCCTATATCCCAGAATATCAAGGCAGAAAATCCAACATTATCTGAGTGTGGACTCAGATAATCCAGTTCAAAGCAGATATTGTGGGATTAATCTTACTTTGTGATATAGGACTGTGTGGAAGGGCCCTATATCCTGCCACGACAGAAAATGCAACAGATTATAACATGGGTATATTTTGCTAGGTGTTATTGATAGGGTGGAGCTAAACATCCATTTTCTGGGTTGCTGTTACTTTCTGGGCTGTATGGACATGTTCTAGAAGCATTCTCTCCTGGCGTTTCCCCCACATCTATGGCAGGCATCCTCAGAGGTAGTGAAGTCTGTTGAATGACTAGGGTCATGAGGTTTATATATCTGTGGAATGATGTCTAGGGTGGGTGAAAGAACTCTTGTTTGTTTGAAGCAAGTGTGAATGCTGCAATTGGCCACCTTGATTAGCATTGAATAGCCTTGTAGTTTCAAAGCCTAGCTGCTTTCAGCCTGGTTTCCTAGTTTCCTAGTTTCCATTTGCCTAGTTTCCAACAGACCTTACAACCTCTGAGGACGCCTGCCACAGATGTGGGGGAAACATCAGGAGAAAATGCTTCTGGAACATGGCCATACAGCCCGGAAAACTGACAGCAATCCAGTGGTTCTGGCCATGAAAGCCTTCAATAACATATACATTTTCTTTTTTCAGCATCATTTTCAGATTTAGTATAACACTTTGCCACTAGAATATCTGTGTGGGGCTTTTCCTGATTATTTAGATAACCATAGCCAGTATTTCATTAATAGAAACAATGATGCATAAGAATGCAAGACCTGATCCTGCAGATAGTTAATAAGTTGTACTCCAGCCATTGCTAGGGGCAGGGTCATGGTGTTGGAGGAACTCTCCCTGGCATAAATGAAGTATCTGCAAGATCAACTATTGAGTATGTCTGATATGCAATTATCTGTTTTCTCATTTTGACTAATGATTTGAACATAGGTCATATGTTCCTTTGGAGCCCGCTCAAACATTACTGTTTACATGACACATTTCAATGGACTCTTTACAGTATTTGCAGTTAACTCTCTCTTTTCTCTGTCTTTTCCCTTCAAAAAATCAAATCCCCCACCGCAGGAGAAGCTAACCTTCCTCCATACTTTATACCAGCACTTGGTAGCAGGCTGTGTTCTTATAAAACAACCAGAAGGCATCCTGGATAAATTCTCCTGGCCGGAGCTTTGCACAGTCTTGCAGGAGAATGTTGATGCCATGATCTTAGACCTCAACAAGGCTAATGAGAAGGTAACTGTCCTCGGGCACCAGCCGCCTCTATTAAATTCAGTGACATTTGTCCACATCACAGTATCGTTAAAAAGGACTGACATTCATCTTATTTCAAAAAGAATTTGGACGTTAATAATTCAATACCGTTAATTACGGCTTGTCTACAGCTCGGTTTGATGCCATTGCTGTGGGCATGTAAATGTGACTGAAGTCTGTATGAAGTCTCTGAGCTCCAGCTTCTGTGCAGGACTTGCTAATACCACTCGCCAGTGTTAGCCACAGGGACCTAATTAAAAGAAAATAAATTAATCTTACTGATGAAGCTATTCAAAGAAGTTAGTCATTTACACTAATAAACCAACTCTTTATCTCAGCGTAAAGCAGAAACAAAATGCTCTTACTCAAGGAGCGCCGTCTTGAAGATATTTGCTTGCAAATAGGAGGAAATATTTGGAAGGGTGTTGTCTGCAAGCCATAACTGTTGATCTTAGATATATTTACATTTGTAAATATAATGCAGAGTACAGTTGTTGAATCACATCATGAATTTTTAAAAGCTTTTTTACAGCGAAACCAAATTTTATCTTGTTGAATATGTTGTATTGTTGATTCTGTCAATTTTTTTAGAAAATCGGTTCGAGAGCCGCAGTTGCTATGTTTTTATAGAGAATAGCTCTCTGTTCCTGGCTCATTTACCGAGGTAGTTTTGTGGTCTAGTAGCAAAATTCCAGAGTATGACCCCCCTTGCTGTGCTCTTTGGGGACAGGAAGAAGAAAATGTTTCACATTAGCTGGAAGTATTCTGAATTTCCAGCTTGGGAGCAAGACTGCTTCCCAGTTCTAGTTTATGTCTTGCCCTAAGAACCCAGAGAAAATGATAAAGGGGTTTATTCTGAAAGCATACAAATTGGTAGTAGAACAATGTAGTTTTAATGGTAAAGTGAACTTCTCAGAGGAAGTAGGAGCCATAGCTTAGTTGGGCTTTGCTTGCAGAAGGTCACAAGGTTCAATCCCCAGCACCTCAAGGCAGGACTGGTATAAGTCCCAGTCTAAAATCCTGGAAAGTTGGGTCTAGTCATGTGTAGACAACACCGGGTTAAATGGAGTGGAGTTTCATTGGTCTTAGGCAACTTTCTGTATAATTTATAATTTATTTATTTATGTGCTGCATTTATATCCTGCCCTTCTCACTACAAAGGGAACTCAGGGCAGCTCACAAAACAGACACAATTCAATGCCATATATACATACACAAGATAATGCAACATATACATTAAAACCCATGATTAAAGCACATCAGTCTTAAAACAGTTAATCAAAATCTCAGTCCAAAGGCATATTCCAGGAGCCCTTCCAGTTTTCAATTGCTTCGTTCCATAAACACATTCCACTGAGAATTATTGTCCGAAGGCTTGGTCCCATAACCATGGCTTCACTTTCTTTCTGAAGGTCAGGAGGGAGGGGGCTGACCTAATTTCACTGGGGAGGGAGTTCAATAGCTGAGGGGCCACCACTGAGAAAACCCTGTCTCTCGTCCCCACCAGTCCCACTTGTGAAGGGGGTGGGATTGAGAGCAGGACCTCCCTGGACGATCTTAACCTCTGAGATGGTTTATAGAGGGAGATGCATTCGAACAGGTAAGCTGGGCCAGAACCATTTAGGGCTTTATAGGTTAAATCAAGCACTTTGAATTGTGCTTGGTAGCAGACTGGCAGCCAGTGGAGTTGGCACAACAGGTGAGTAGTGTGCTCCTTGTACCCCACTCCAGTAAGAAACCTGGCTGCAGCCTGTTGGACTACTTGAAACTTCTGAACAGTCTTCTAAGGTAACCCCACATAGAGCGTGTTGCAATAGTCTATTCGGGATGTTACAAGAGTGTGAGTATAATCCTATGATTATACTCAGTTAAATCCAACAGGGTGCCTTCCAGAAATGTTGGACTACAACTCCTGTTATACAGAGCCAGTATAAAAAGGTAGGGATGAGACATATTTGAGACTTAGGAAGGAAAAAGTAGCTAGGAACCAAAACGAAAGAAAGCTACATATGGTCAGAATTTTGAGGCAGACAGGCAATAAATATATATTTGGCTATAAATTCCACATCAATGTAAGGGTAGAAAACCATATAACAACTATAGTTAAGAATAAAAGAATTGATTGCCCAGTGAATTTCTAATATAATTCCATGTTATCATTGTTATTTTTTCTGTCTATAAATATTTATATGAAAATTTAAAATAATTTAAAAATAAAAACGGTAAGAATGTTTTAAGTGCCCTAAAACATATTAAATAAAAAAAGTTTAAAACAGTATGAACCTAAAAATTGGATACTATTCTCTGTTGAAATGGAATTTTACAGAAGTCTGTTATATATAGTTATTTGTTTTTGCATCCTCAACAACAGGTTAATATAAAAAATGTATTCTTTAGAACAAGGCATCAGTGTATTTATAAATACATTTATATTTTACCATATAATTTACTTATGTCACATTTTGATGCTGTTGCTTTTTTCCCCCTTTTTGCTTCTTAGCACTTGTTTTGTTTATTATTTGGAATGCAGGTGCAAAAGACACAAACTTGAGACTAGCTTTTGTGTCTTTTACATAGTGTCAGGAAGCTGATTTCAGAATTGCCACTAAAAAGACAATTGATCAACATAGTTTCTCGATACCTATGACCCTTAGAAGCTCTAATACAAAAGAAAGCAGAATAGTAAGCGTTGCATTTTTAGTCAAATGCTTTTATAATTCTGTTTATATTACGTATAATTCCATTAAAAGTACTATTACTACTGTATCTACTTTTGAAGCAAACCTGAAACCACATTGTGCAATGTACACAAAGAATCAAGGTTGAAACCCTAACCAAACAATATCAGATTCCATTTGCTAAGTAATATTCCTTTAACTATCCTGATAGTCCTGATTAATCTTCTTTTGTCCCGTTTTTTCCTACTCCTTCTCCTCCTCCCATTTTACCCCTTTGTTGGATCCCCCGGTGGCACAGTGGGTTAAACCCTTGTGCCGGCAGGACTGAAGACCGACAGGTCGGAGGTCGAATCTGGGGAGAGCGTGAATGAGCTTCTTCTGTCAGCTCCAGCTCCCCATGTGGGAACATGAGAGAAGCCTCCCAGAAGGATGGTAAAACATCAAAACTTCCGGGCATCCCCTGGGCAGTGTCCTTGCAGACGGCCAATTCTCTCACACCAAAAGCGATTTTCACTTTCTCTCCTAACACAAAAAACAAACAAACAAACCCTTTTGTTTCCAGATTATTTAAATTGCTGCAAAACTCAATAGGGAAAAAAGAGATCAATCTTGCTCTTCCCATTAGATTCAGACAAATGCAAACCGCTGCAGCCTCTCCTAACTAATATTCCTCATGAATAACATTTGTTACCTTGACCACACACTGATGTGCATTGCCCACATTTTCATCTGTGAAATGTTGGAGCATACGTTACCACCCACGTTTCTTTAGTGCTATTCAATCTTTTTAACATCAGTTGTCTAAAATAAAGGTTTTAGCTTTATTATCTGGATTTTATTTTAAAACATACAGGCATGCCAATTGGAGTGTATTTGCATAACCAGATGTTCAAATCATTTTGACTTCTAACATGACTTGTCCTGCTAAACCATCAGACTACAGCCTTGATCAGTTTGAGAAACTGAATTTTAAAAAGGCAACTGTGCTCTGAAGCTGTTTTAAATTGTTCAACAAGTATGAATTAGTTTTGGAAACTAAGTTAAGTCAATGATATCACAGAAGTTTTTCATGTGAATACTTCAGTGGAGCAATTGAACAGGACAGCTACATCACTTAGTTTGTTATTTTATAACGCAGGCTCTGGGTTTGCTATAGGAAGCTTGATTTAATCGCACCAGCTAAGATTGAATGCTGGGATGTCCCAATTCAATTTTTCCTTCATCCATGAATTTGGTGGTTAGTCTTTGGCAAATCACATATTTATATGCTTATATTCCACAGCTGCAATATGACAATAATACTGGTCTCTCCTTACAAAGATATTTGAGCTCATATATATGAAGATCTATAAATACTTGAAGTTATTCTTACACTGTCTGAAACAATTCTCTTTTAGGACAAGTGGAATAGCTGCAAGACTGAACTACAACAGAGGAAGGGAGACTTTATTTCTTTATATTCAGTTTTTAGAAGTAAAAATAATAAAAAGATTGCTTAGGACTTCTAGATTAGGCCATAGCCTCTGTGCTGTGGACCCACATGAGCTCCTGGAATCCAATAATATCTCATATTTCCATACATGGTTACTCAAAAGTAAGCCTTACTTATTTATTTATGTACCAAATTTATATCCCGCCCTTTTTATCTCAAAAGGGACTCAGGGTGGCTCACAACAAAGGCCCAATTCTATGCCTTGAATACATATAAAAATAAAACAACATATTCTTTAAAATCACATAATTAAAACATATCATTTGAAACAATGATTTAAAACCACAGAGTCCAAAAGCACATTCCAGGAGCCATTCCAATTGCCATTTGTATTGTTCATTACTGCACTGAGAGGCCATTGTTGTACTGGGAATCATTGTACAAACGCTTGGTCCCAGAACCATGTCTTCACTTTCTTCCTGAAGGTCAGGAGGGAGGGAGATGATCTAATATCCCTGGGGAGGGAGTTCCATAACCAAGGGGCCACCACTGAGAAGGCCCTGTCTCTTGTCCCCATCAGTCACGCCCGCAAAAGGGGTGGGATCGAGAGCAGGGTCTCCCTGGACAATCTTAACCCCTGAGATGGTTTTTACGGGGAGATAAGTTCAGACAGTTAAACTAGGACGGTGTTAGTAAGCTGGACTCATAGCATGCATGGGATTGCAGCTCCTAGTGTCCCCCTTTCCTGACAACTTGAATTCATTTTGCATTAACTTGGAAGTTCTGTAAGTCACTTTGTTGTATATAATGCCTGCAATCAGACAAATGTCTGGCTGAAGACTGCTGAACTCGACATCAGATCGCTGTAGCAGCAAATATAGGTGGATGTGATCTAGCCTTGGCTGTCTCCTCATTTGCAGCTTATTTTCAGTGGTAGGAGACTTCCTGGAAAGGCTTTCCAAAATAAGAAAGGGATTGTGAAGCTTATATACAAAATTACCTGGGCATTTCTCCTTCTGTGCTATGTTCTTTGGGAATATGGATCACTGGATTTTTGTGGTAAATAAGCTGTGGTTGATTTCCCGACCTGGGTTTTAAGATTTGGAACAGGCTCTTGAAAGTATTTCCAAGTGTCCTGGTTTAAATTAGGATTGAGAAGATTCATAAAACAGAGTTAATATGAGCTTTTCTCAAATGCCAATTATGCAGATCTCTCACCTTGAATATGTTTGTAAGAACAAGTCGGATACGATGAGGGAGCTTCAGCAGACCCAGGAAGACACTTTGAGCAAAGTAGCTGAACAGATGAAAGCGCAGGAAAGCTGTTGGCTGAAGCAGAAGAAGGAATTGGAACAGCAATATTCTGGACTCCTTGGGGAGGTTCATGCAAGGGCACAGGTACAATATTTCTGCCAGGAAACTATAAACTTCTAAATGTATTCTTTAAATATTTAGTATATTATTTCAGTGGTTTGGATTCCACACCAATTTTAAATTGCTTGGGAATTTCAGTATGGTTCAAGAAATGATTTTTTAAAAAAACGATTAACTTCTACTTTCTTTTTTAAAAAAGGGCATGGATTTGTGTGAAGACATTCCAAAACTTGCATTGCTTAATTGGATCCTGCAGTTGTATTTCCCATTTAGTTACCATGCAAAAGTTACCTACAGAGTGAAAACATTGACTTCTTTGTATTATTAGTCTGAGTACCAGATGCTTTTCTCTCATGATGACTATTCTTCCTATGGCTTTGCAGAATTAAAGTTATTGAAATTCATTTTATGTTGAACCCGACATCAGGCATAGGTTCATAGGCAAGTCAGCAGAAGCAATAAAAGGCACTTAAAGCACACAGAAAGACCTTCTCTCCTTATATTGGAACCTGGGATCATCAAATCCAGCTGAGTGGTGGGAAATTCAAGATAGATTAAAGAAAGAAGGGCTTTTTCATATGACACATAATTAAACTATGGAATTCACTACCACAAGATGTAGCAATGGCCATCCATGTGGGAAGTTTAAAAGGAGATTAGAGAAAGGTATGATGAAGAGAACTAACAGAGGCTACTAGTCAGGATAGTCATACCTTGTTTACTGATCAGGATGACTATATATGAAAGGAGATATCGCACCTCTCAATATTGGTTGCTGGGGAACATGAATGAGAAAGTATTATGCTTGGATCCTATTTCTGGTGTTCACTTAGGGAATCTGGTTGATCTCTGGGGCAACAGAATGATTGAGCAAAAGGTATTTAATCCCATTGAGTATTTTTCTTCTAATGTTATTATCTCCACTGATGTAAGTGCTCGGCATGGGCAATCCATGGTTCTAAATGGTTCCGAAAGTACTTACAAAATGAGTGGGTGCTGGTGCTTTGCTTCTATAGTTTTGCTAAAGTTCTGGTGGTGAAAATTTCAGAACTCTAACAAAACTTTCAAAATTTCATTATTATTTTGTTATTGGCGATTTTTATGTCAGAACCAATTATAAACTGCCATTTATAACAATTTTTTTCAAAGTTTTGTTAGAGTTCTGAGGTTTTCACCTYTAGAACTTTAGTTCTGAGATTTTCACCACCAGAACTTTAGATTTTCACCATCAGAACACAGGGCGGCCCTAGGTAATTTTCAACGGTAAGCAAACAGTATTTTGCCCCCCCCCCCCAACCAATCACTGATATATATTTTCTGTTCATTGTGGGAGATCTGTGTGTCATATTTGGTTCAATTCCATCATTGGTGGAGTTCAGAATGTTCTTTGATTGTAGGTAACTGCAACTCGCATATGTCAAGGTCTATTTTCCCCCAAGAGCGCCTCAAGAGCGCCCCTGGGCAAAATCAACTATACTGCAAATGCTAGCTTTGCGTAATGTGTTGAGCCGCCCTTGCCAGAACACCAGCCACCTCTGGTTTTGTAAGTACTTTAGAACCATTTAGAACCATGGATTGCACATGCCTTGTAGGTGTATTAGTAAAATAGTCTGATATGTGCTAAAATAGTCTAAGAGAGTAGTTGAATGTGACAGTATTCTAATATTTGGTCCACTCTGTGTTGTGATACTTCTTTGGTTGTGTTAGTAGTAGTAGTAGTAGTAGTAGTAGTAATAATAATAATAATAATAATAATAATAATAATAATAGAGCCCCTCATGGCGCAGTGGATTAAACCCTTCTGCTGACAGAACTGAAGACCGATAGGTCGCAGTTTTGAATCTGGAGAGAGCACAGATGAGCTCCCTCAGTCAGCTCTAGTTCCCCATGCAGGACATGAGAGAAGCCTCTCACAAGGATGGTAAAACATCAGAACATCCTGGCATCCCCTGGGCAACGTCCTTGCAGATGGCCAATTTTCTCACACCAGAAGTGACTTGCAGTTTCTCAAGTCACTCCTGTCATGAAAAAACCCCAATAATAATAATAATAATAATAATAATAATAATAATACTTTAAAAAAACTTTATTTACATGCCGCTACCATCTCCCAGAAGGGACACTTGGGGAGGCTCACAGAAAGCACTCAATAGTGCAACAGAATACAAATTTAACTAAATACAGAAAAGTAAAAAATCATAACAATAAAATTGACCCAGTTATTCTTAAAACAGGAATAAAACCTCTATTAATTTAAAAGATATTATAAAACCCAGCAAGCTACAAAAATAGCATCTGTGTACAATATCAGTCCCCATAAGTGCAGAAGTGAAGCAACTCACTAAGTCCTCAAGTATAGTGATTAAGGCCATAATCCCTAAACGTGGTCAAAGGTTTGTTTAAAAAGTCATGTCTCCAGAAAACTTGGAGAGTGGGGCCTACTCTCTTTAGGGAAGGCATTCCAAAACCGGGGAGCCACCACCTAGAAGGCCCTCTCTCTCGTCTTCACAAGACAGAGGTGGGATCGAGAGGAGCCCACCTTTCAGAAACTAAAATTCATTCCCTAAAATATAAAGATGTAGGGAAGATGTAGCTCATTAAAACCCATCTCCTAATTTCAAGGGACAGTAGTGAAATCGTATGTGTAATTGTTTTAATTTTATGCTTATTTAAAATTGATTTCTAAAAATGTTAAGTTCAAAATTATGGAGTACTGTTTCCATCAAGAAGTCTTTTTTATGGCTGTCCCCTTTTCAATTATTTATCAATGTCTCTGCTACTCTGTACACATCATGCCTTCTCACATGCTTCAAAACAATCTGTATCACAGGTGGGATGCTCAGTCCCTTGGTTCAAATCTACATATCTCGGTTCCTACTGGCCTTTGTCAAGTGGCCTGGCACCTTTCTCCATTACATCATTATTTGTGGCTTCCCAACTTTCTCAACAATTCTTTTAAAATGAAATACTTCTCTTAGGATTTAATTACTTGCAATAAACGCTCTAAGCTGAAATATGCTGGTATTTTTAATTTGGTAATCACCCACCACTGGAATATGCCTTCTAAGAGTTTCTCAGAAATTACATTTGGCCCAGAGGCCCGAAGAGGTTTCCTACTCCTGGTCTACATATTACTTAGGCATTTGTTTGGTCCCTTTGTATCGAACAGGTGCTTATGTCAAAATAGACCAGTTCAGGGCTCAGTTCCCATACAATCAGAAGCCCCAACCTAAATGCCGAAGTCCCATCCCTAATATTCCCACATGTGGTTCATTGGAGGAGCACTGCCGAATTTGCTGAAAGATCTATGGGTGTTTCTGTGCTTCTTCCGTGCGATGTGCTTGTAAACCTTCCCATGACTTGGAATCCCAATAAATCAGCATTCACAACATGGAGGTAGAGTTTGGGAATTATATCTTTTGAGGCTACAGCTGTCATCTTGAAAAGGTTACCATCCTGAGGCTTATAAACATGTTCATCTGAATGCAATTATATCCCACCCACGCTTTATGGGGAAACACATTATAGGCACCCACATGCCTGGGGGACAGGGCTGGTACCCACCCATCCTTCTAGCTACCATACTGAATGCTTACCTAGAACTGATATGTAAGCTTTGGTAGATCTTGCCAATTTATTTTGGCACCCAATGTGAAGTGCTGCAAAAGGATTCAACTGGTGTTCTCATATGTAAGAGTTCTCTTATCTCATGCCAATGAATTCTTTTGAACTCTAATGACCTAGAATTCAAAAGGAAGGAAATACCTGCATCTGTGAAATTCAGGCAATAATTTAGATATATCAGTATGTATAAGAGAAGAATTGAGAGAGTAATCAGGAAAGTTTGACTCTTATGAGGGTTGAATGAAAAGTAATGCCTCCACCTTTGTTACTTAGGTTTGGATGGGAATATTTTAATAAATAAATGCAGAAATAGTCCTTAGAATGTGCTCTTTAACTCCCACTATTCACGTTTCCACATAATCACCAGGCAATTGGATACATTTCTGCCAACGATTAACAAGTTTTCTGAAGTCGTCACGGAAGAAGTTGACACTCTGTTTCCACAACCAGCATCTCACAGTTCTTTTAACGTCTTCATCAGAAGCATAATGATGTCCCCGTAGATCTTCTTTCATTATTGGGAACAGATGGAAGTCAGACGGTGCTAAATCTGGACTGTATGGAGGATGTCGTAAGATCCAGTTGGTGAAGTTTCAAGTCTGTGCGCTTTCATTTCAGGCGTCAGTATCCTGGGTACCCATCATGCACAGATCTTCCAATAGCCAAGCAAAGCAATAATGTGACCCGCACGTTCTTGTGAAATGCCGATTATCGTTGAAATTTCTCTCTGAGTGATACGACGATCGTCCTGAATCAATCTGTCAACCTTTTGCTTGTGAAACTCAGTGGTTGCTGTCACAGGACGTCCAATTCTTTGTTTGTCATGCAAGTCAGTTGTTCCCACCTCAACATCTTTAATCTTACCTGCCCAATTACACACAGTACTCACATCAACACAATCACCATAAACAGCTTATATTCTCTGATGAATCTCCTTCAGGGTGACACCTTCTGCTGTCAAGAATTCAATGACTGCACATTGCTTAAGTCGCATTGACCAATCCTCTGTGCAGGGTTCCATACTTCGCACTTTAACAACACAACTGTTCAATGCTAAGGCTTCCCGCCAAAATGGAACTGTAGAGGAGAGTCTACTGAACAAGCCAATACCTGCCGCATACCAGTACTTCATCTGTTGAGGAGTTACGAAAGTGCAGGCATTACTTTTCATTCAACCCTCGTAATTCAAATCTCAAGTTGCTTGTGTACTCTTTCGGAGGGTTTGGGGGCAGGGTCCTTAAGGGCACGGAGAATACTAATAAGCTTTCTCATTACAGTGTAGTTGTAAGAATTACTAAAATAATGGATATGAAGAAAACCGGGTGCTTAAGAGCTTTGAAACTACTGGTTTTAAGCGCCAAGAACTGGTAAACTATGTTCCATTATTTGTACTTTTCTGG